TCAGAGACTTACAGAAATGAGTGAYRTGCAAGCTGGACAGTCAGGGTGCTRCAGGAGACACAGCAGCCAGGAAGGAAAAAGGGCAYAGCTCTGCTCCAAAATCTCTAAGGGGACAGACTCCAGAGGCCTCACGACAAATCCTCCTTGGGCAGCAGYTGGTAACCTTCATCCCTGCATCCCCACCCCACAGGGCACCATCACCGCTCATCCTGTCAACCCTGTCCTTTCCTGCCCCTTGAACATCTCCCTCCTTTTCCASACAGGTTTGTCCCTCYCCCAGTTGCATCACTAACACTTCAYCAGCCCAGAGGTTCAGAGATGGAAAGATGAAGAGACAAGCACAGAGTGAAGGGATGGCAGTGCATCAAGAGTAGTGTCACCTCAGTCCCTGCTCTTATACTCTATATATTCCAATTAGTTCTCCTTGCAGGAGAAAGGGATTCTTATAGTGTGAAAAAGAAGTGAATTTTTGGGAATTTGACTGGGGTTTTTGTTTGGTTTTTTTTCTAAACATAGAGGAAAAAAAAATTATTATAATAATAGAATATATATTACAACTCTTTAAAAACTTTTACGTACACAAATAAAAGGGAGAGATTCCAATTTAAAATAAAAAAAAAAAAATCCCAACCAACCAGACTGGAATGTAGTGTTCTGGTTCTCTTAGAACAGATGTTGTAGCCCACACTCAGTTTTAGGTATCGTGTTTCACCCTATTTGGGATGCATTTCTCTGAAGAATCACTGCTCATCCATTAGAGAGGAGGACCCTCCTGCAGAGGATGACTCAGATGCCCAGAGCCAAGTCCTGCCCTGAATTATCCTTCAGTTCTCAGTGTCTCTGCATGTCCAGAGCTGCAGGTGATCACCCCTCTCATGCAGGAACTGAGTTCTGTGCTGGAAGGCAGCAGGTGTGRTTGAACTGCAGTGCTGTTATGATGCTTTCCAAGTTTAGGCTGTCCAAAGGAGTTAGAAAAAGCTGATTTTCTGAGGGAACAGTCATTTAGCCATGAGACACACAGTAAAGTGTGCTTTCTTATCATGGCTTCATAAACATGACCACCAAATATAATTATGAATGCAGCAGAACTTGAATTCTATATCTCTTCCTRTTTAATTCTGCAATGAAAAATTAATTTTCAGGGAGCAAATTAATAAGTATTGCATTGCATTTGAGCAAATATTTACTATTTACAATTAAAAYGTGAAGCTGCTTTTTTCCCTAAATCAATTTGTATTTTATTTGTGCAGATGTTTTTATATAGACCAATACCAAATCAAGTCAAAAAGAAACAGATACTGTGTGTGCAATGTTACGAAGTTTTCATGTAATGTTGCGACTCAAAATGCAGACTTTCTTGCAGATTTACTCAGTTGATTTTTTTTTTTCATTAACAAAATAGTTTGGCATAACTAGATTTTCTTCCTCGCTCTCTGTCTACCCCTTTCAAGTATTAAATTTCTTCCTTCCTCACCTTCCCCAAAAAGTCAAGAAACAGTTTGTTTTCAAGTCTGTTTTAAGCCTCTGAACCCACACATCAAATAAACCAAGCGAGTTCCTCAGTGGATGAAAGATGGAGGAGAAATTATTAATAAGCTCCTTATTGACTCAATGAGGCTTCAACAGGAACCCCAACAGTTTATTCTGTTTTATATTTGGAGATTTATGMAAACCTGTTTCTGTGCTGGCCCACCAAATGAGGGTGATGATAGTGCTGTAAAGGGAAAGGATTCAAACCAAAAGATTCACACCAAGCATAAAAAGAGCTTTACCCTTTAAATGTGAAACATTCTCCATAATACCAAGGCGATTAAACATAGACTTGATTGTTAAAACAGCAACAGAGTTCAGCCAAACCCCTCACTCAGTCCTTGAGAGTTGGTTTCCATATTGCCAGGGACACAAATGCCAGCTTAAACCAGCAGGTGTTCAGAAATGGTTATTGAAAGAGAAACTGTAGAGACCCACAGTGCATCTCACAAAAAGATAATACCATTTTCCTTACTTTGTCAGCAACTTTATTTCTCACTGCAGCCATGGGAGCTGTTTGCTGGAGGTTTTTCTCCCTTGTGAGGGAGCTTTGGCGTGCACAGTGAAGTATTTTGGTGGAATGTCTCRGCCTCTGAAAGGCTTTGGTCTCACTGTGTTCATGCACCTTTTGTTTKCTCTGAATGTTTGGTTCCCGAGGCTGGCATGAAGGTTCAAGATGAATTTCGAAGATGCATGTGCATGTCACCATGGGAACTGGAGGCTGATCCCAAGCAGCAGAGCTGCTGTGGGTGATTGTGTGCTTTATCCACTTTGCCCATGGAAGCAGTGCCATGTGAATGCTCTGAATGGTCACTCAGCAGCTGTGCTGGTTACCACTGGCACAAACCTCTTGGCCACTGCTCTGGTGAGGGGAAGAATATCTCATGACTGTGAAATGATATTCAATTACAGCAGCTGAAAGACGGATCATTTGTTTGTGCAAACTATTAATAGAAAAGAAAGCTAAAATGGGCATTTGTTGCCCTTATTTATTTGCTCAGCTCAATCTCAGTCTTCAATCCTCTGTCTTCACTTGGTGATATGTGGGCTTTACAACTTCATTTCCACACTTAGAGAATTGTGTTAAGAAAAACATCTATATACTGTTTGATTGAAAAAAAAAATTTCTTTTTAATTCACTTCTAGTGGGAGGATGAGAAGCCCCTTGTTTCACTTTGCAAGATATTAGTGATTATTGTGCACTGTGGAAAAAAAATGCTGGAATGAGCCAAAAGTTTCATTGTTTTATGTTTCTTTATAGTAGCCCCATGTTCTGTGGCAGCCACCACACAATTAAACATTTCACAAAMTTTTGTACTAGGTAAATAGACTGTAGATTTGTAAGAATATTCACTGTTTGGTAAACAGAGTCAGTTTAATTAGTTGATACAAATGATATAATTGCTAACGTATCAAAGAGGGTTTTCACTAATATATTGATCTTTGAACTTCCTTTAATTTATTATTTCCACCAATCAATGCRTGTACTGCATTCCCCAAACTGATGAAGTCAAAAATTATAAAAGCTTGGAGCAATAAAGTGATACAGAAAATTTTGCTGGACTTTTTAGTGTAGCTGTGTAATAATTTATTCAGCATCATAGTTCTGTAGCTGAAGCACTCTTCTGGGTAAAGAGCTTTCTCTTTTCATCCCATCTAGGTGAAGTGATAGGAGCTTTTTTAGCCTTCTCTAGTTTGAGGAAGGAATAGCCTTGCACTGTACACCCTTATGGTACCTCAAAGAAGTGGGTGAAAGAAGAGCCAAAATGGGAAATGTGCCCCAGCTGTCAGGAGCTGGCACCTTTAGGCTTGGCTGTGTCCTTCGTGCTTTCCACAGGCTTCAGTGTTCACCTGGGGTCACAAAAAGGGGTAGCAGCAAAAAGTTTGAAGTTGGGCACACCTTAGGTAAAACAGAAGAATAATTATTCCCTTCTCAGCAGAAAGAAATTAAACATTTAGTATCCAATTAATTGTTAGAGCAGTTTATGCCTGTCAGGTTCTTTTCTGACATACATAGTTTTAAACATACAATAAATATAAGTTTTAGATGGCACAAAATCCAAATTGTGCCAGTTTCTGGGAATAAAACTGATATTTTTTCTATCCTTTACTGTTTGATTTATTCATAGCTGTTTTGAGAAATTCATGCAGTACAATTTTGGTGCTATTGCCTGCTAAAGATTTTCCCTCCTTTCCTTTATTGGCCCCATTTCTCCCACACACAAATCCACAAAGCCACAGATGCTCCATTACAATGATGTCAGTCCTTCTACATGCTCCAGCTGTTTGGTAGGTACATTTATAAAGTTCAGCCTTTTACATTATGCCATAAATGTATATTTCATGTATAAACATAAAGTTAACATATTGCAGATCACTCTAAGTGTAATTTTAATGGAGGTTCAGTAAGTTTAAAAAATACTGAAAAGCATTTAATCTTTCCGTTGGCAACATTTTTATAGTAAGTTTTCCAAATTTTTTTTCTTAGGCTAGGTTTAAATATTCCCTGCCCTCTCTGCTATTTCATCTTCTGTGATCTTTGGAAAAAGCAGGGAGTTATTATAGTAAGACAATATGTATTTTAAAGAAAGATGTCTGAGGAAAAATATGTTTCTCTCCACATCTTCTTGGTGCTCAAACCCTCACTTAACATTCTGTACATTTACCAGCAAAGCACGCTGAAAAACACCTAATTCRTGGAATTGCCAGATTCCAGTGACATTCAATATGGCCGATACTCTGCTGATAGGATGCATAAATTCTAGCAGATTGTTTTAAAATTTCATTTAAAGTTGGGTCTGAGCCTTAAAGGCATTCTTTGTATTGTGTCCCGAATTTCAAAGGAAAGGCTGAATAGTGCATATTTGGCTCTGCCTTCTGCCCCTTTTTGGTGTGTGCTCAAGGGTTCAGCTCCCTGAAACTGTGCATCAGTGACTGRTGCCACAGGATCCCTCCCTGCTCTCCCCTGGGTGCTTTCCTTCTCAGAAAAAATGTCTTTATTTTTTRTTCTCCCTTTCAGCTGCCTACTTTGTCTTCATTTGAATGCGGTGCTGAGTTATCACCCTGTTTGTACCAGATAGTYTTTATTATTCTAAAATAAATCTTTCCTCTTAGGAAGATTTTGAGGCTTAATCTCTGTTTTGTGGGCTCAGTTRTAAAATGGCTCTCAGGAGGGCAGATGAAAGCTGAGATCAGTAATTGCTGTTGCTACAAGCAGGACCAGGCCCTAAAATGACCTTTGGGGCTCAAATTTGGGACTGTGAGCTATCGGGGTGTGGCTGCAGAAGAACCTTCATCAGCGTTGTGGATCCTTTTCATTCCAGACCATAAATACATAGCTGGGTAGTCAGAATGGAGCAGAATTCAGAGCTGAAATCTGAAAAAGAAAAATCTGATAAACTCCTAACAAGAACCAGTGGTGCAGAAATGCTGATCATGTCACCATTATTTGTTTTCTTTTTAATTTTCAGGTCTTTTGTTATCCAGCAGATCCCAAGTAGCAACCTCTTCATGGTGGTAGTAGATAATGAATGCTTCTGTGATTCTATCCCACCAATTACCATGGCACCTATAGAAATAAGGTATATCCTTTTACTTACAAAACAATTAAAAAGAGATTCAAGATGCAAATGTCAAAAATATTCTTATAATTTAAAACCTGCATTGCATTACATGCATACATCCCCCATTGTAAGTGCTTTTTGAAATTAAGCCAGCCAGGAATATGTTCTTTCTATTTTTTAAAATTAGACTTAAAACTTATTTTTTAAAAGT